AAAACGCCGTGCTCGAGTGCGTGGAAGTCAGCATAGGCGAGCTCAAAAAAGCTAATACCGGCCTGGAAATGGAAGATTGGACTTTGGACGCCGCACTGCACAGGAATTTCGATACCATGGTCCGGCGGCAGCTGGACCCTGTGTGGCATCGGACCAGTTTCAGAACGCGGCAGATTGTGCGGGATCTGACAATATTGAGGGGCATCCTGCATTACCTGCTAACCTACGACGCTGTCAACTTCAACCGCTACCTTGACACTGTTCTGGCAGCTTCGCAACCGCCTCCTGGGTCAACCCGTCAAAACCAGTCACCTTGGCTATTTCTTGACGCTGCACATGTCATTTTCGACACAGCGAAGAGGCGGGTGTACACTGGCAAAGTATCAGAGGGAGATCTTGCCAGAGGCTCCAACGGCGTGCCCGACTCCCTGCACCCGGTTCTGGAGGAGCTGCCGAAATGGGCTCTGCTGGCAGAAATCCTCGAAGAGATTGAGCGGGATATGTACTTTAACCCTCAACCGCAGGACGAGTCCAACGGAACCATTCTTATCATGTGTGGAGACCGTGCTACTTGTGCGCAGATTCGCGAATACCTCCAGAGCATGCATGTGATGCCGGAGGACGCAGATGCAGAGGATGAAGGTTATACCAGCAAGCCGTCCGGCTCTGCTATGATGAGACGTCGACTGCGCAACTACCTCGTTTGGAAGCGAGATTTTGCAAAGGTCAGCACGTCACTGTTTGCCGAGAATCAGAAAACTATCAACGGCGTTGTAGACCATCGCAGTCAAGCTTCTCGAGGTGGGCGCGCGCCTCCGAACAAACGACGGCGCATACGGGGTGGTTCTGCGGCGGCCTCTGGCCCGTCGCGTACCGCTAATGGTACAGTGCACATTGCAGGAGACAAAGAATCACATGTTGCAAGCCTTCTGGCAGATCTCGCCCCGACTGAGGCAGAAGCGCAGCAGAAGGGTGAAATCGCGACCGATCCGCTCGAAGACATGGAGGATCATTACGAGCTCTATGAGATGAAAGACCTGATCGTGGTACATCCGTACGACGGAGACATGGACGAGCACGTGTTGCAGGAGGTCAAGCCTAGATATGTGATCATGTATGAACCAGACGCTGCGTTCATTCGGCGGGTCGAGGTCTACAGGAGCAGCCACGGCAATCGTAACGTTCGGGTATATTTTATGTACTACGGTAACAGCGTCGAAGAGCAGCGCTACCTTAGCGCGGTGCGGAGGAGAAGGACGCCTTTACGAAGCTCATCCGTGAGCGCGGAGTGAGTAGCATTCGTATGTGTCTCGTCCTGATCGGTTGCGCTGACACGTTCCCAGAGTATGGCGGTTACCTTGACCCACGATGCAGATCCGCAAGAGTCTTTCTTGCGCACAATCAACACTCGTATTGCGGGTGGTGGACGTCTTGCAGCCACAGCGACACCGTCTCGTATAGTCGTCGACGTTCGAGAGTTCCGGTCCTCCCTCCCATCGCTCTGTCACGGCCGCAACATGGACATCGTACCCGCCATGCTGACAGTCGGTGATTACGTGCTCACTCCAAACATCTGCATCGAGCGAAAATCCATCAAAGATCTTATCCAGTCGTTCCAAAGCGGTCGTCTTTACCATCAGGCGGAGACGATGTTGCAACACTACAAGAACCCCATGCTACTCATCGAATTCGACGCTCAAAAAGCTTTCACCCTCGAGCCGTTCGCTGACCTCTCGAACGCCGCTTCGTCCCTCAACGCGACGGATCTTCAATCTAAGCTGGTCCTGCTTATGCTCGCGTTCCCGCAGCTTCGCATCATCTGGTCCTCATCTCCCTACCAGACGGCAGAGATCTTCGAGGAGTTGAAGAAACAGCAGGAAGAGCCCGATCCCGAGAGAGCTGTCCAGATCGGACTGGAGGATGGTGAGGATCCGACGTCGCGGACTTTCAACCAGCTGCCGCAGGAGATGTTGCGCGCTGTGCCGGGCGTGAACTCGAAGAATATCACCAGGTTGGTTTTGGAGATGAGCAGTTTGCAGGATGTAGCGAATGCGACCGAGGAAGAGTTGAGTAGACTCATTGGCGCGGAAGCTGGGAGGCAGATTTACCGGTTCTTTGATCGGTCGGTATTTGACGAATGAGGAGACGACAATAAGCATCAGACAAGCTTCACTCAACCTTCATGCAACATTGGCGTCTTTGTCGTACAGATCGTCAAGGCCTTCCCTCTTCGGTCATTCATCCACATCGTAACGACCGATCCTGCTTATATACACACTGTCAAGCCTTCCATCTCTGTCCTCCTCTATTCCATGACAGTCACCTATCCTTCACTTCTCTGTCTTGTTGCGCCTCTTCCGCCCAAAGATCTCGGACACACGCCAACCAACTGAATGTATGCGGACAGCTGTGCCAATTAGTTCACGCCCATGACGGCCTCGAAGAGTGCAACGAAATCTTCCGACTCGGTCGCGATATCCACGATCGCCACATCACCTTCTGTCACCATGGCTGACAGCGAAAAAGTTGTGCGAGCTCAGAAGATGTTTCACATGAAGAAACCATTCGGGAACATGAAGCGTAACGACCTGCGAGCTGTCTGGCATGGGCTCAGGAAGATGACGGCGTACAAGGATGCCACCAATGACGAGCGAGTACGGACATCGGAGCAGATTACGGCGGAGGTAACAGCGAAGCGCGTATCGCAATGGAGGCATACCTCTTGCTGGTACGACAGGGACGGGAATGAGCTTTACCCAGGGCTCTTATCTTGGACGGGAGCTGCAAAGGAGACCAAAGGCTGCAAATTCACATTGGCGGAGGAAGAGGATGACGACGAGGAGATGGTGGTCAGGCCAGTCAAAAAGCAGAAATACGACAGAGACGATCCCGCCTCGTCCAGCCTTACGGACACGTCCAGCATTGAGCGACATCTCAGTGAGGAGGAGGTCACACTGAAACCCTCCGCCAAGCGCTCAGTGCCTTCAAAGTGCAGCGGGTGCGCCTACGTCTCCGACTACAGTCTCTACGCTGGCACTGAGCGTTTGGTACCGGATGTCCGCTGCACTGGACCTGCTTACATAAACCCCTATCCGCTGTACAGAATGACCGGCAAACCCTCCGGAGAGGAAGATACTGCGGCGGAGGGGAGACTGCCATGGGAAGACAGTGATCATGAGGATGAGGAAACGGAGGACCGTGATGAGGGATCTGGCAAAACAAAGCGAAAGCTCGAGGCCGATGGCATGAGGTACGGCGAAGGCGTTCCGAGCAAGAAGATGAAGACTTGAGCAGTCGATGGGGAGGACACGCAGGTGGCAAGATGGGGGACGTTTATTTTGATCGGGACATGGCGGGTCCCGAACCCGTCTTTACGACTTACCCCTATAGGCGTGTTGTGAAGTTCGGGGCGTTCAGATTGTGCTACTTGCCACCTGTCACAGGTGGTCTTGGTGGGCTTTCATCTGGGGATTGGAATGGGAAACAGTTCCCACGGATAACAATCTTACGATCGGTATAGGAGGCTATCGAACTTTGTAAGCTTCAGATGCATTATGTGCCAGTACAGTATCTTCCGGTTTGTCCTTTCGCTCTTGAAAGGCCTTCAAGCCGTGCTTCCAGAAGTGTTGTTGTCACTCGACCGCGTGTTCCAGCTCCGACGAGGCGCTCTCGAGGTTCACTGCGCTGACCGACCAACCACTGCTGCGAGTTGAGGACGTTACTATACGTACACCAACATACGTAACGGTCATGTTCTACGTGCCTGTTTACCCACCCTCAAGTGACAGAGGTGAGCGGACGTACTCCGAACACAGTCAAGAAGTCAGGTCTATTTTTGAGGCAGCTGTATAATGCTTCTACGACTAACTGAAGGGAACGAGGAGGGCCACACTGGTTTCTACGCCATCTATAATTTTGGCTTTTTCCCCACTTCTGTACTGGCCTTGTCGTGCTCGCAAGTGCTGATCAATGCACCGTCGCGAGCGCGCTTCATCGTCCCTCTGAGCGACGCCAGCGTCTTGCCTGCATGAACAACCTACGCTCACATCAGCCATTGCTCCACATAATGGGTAAAAGCATACCCTACGAAAAAGGAATACTCACCTCCGTCTCTACGATCAGTTTCTCGCCCACCGGCGCCGGCCGCAGATAAGTTACGCTCAAGATCCTGCTCACACCACCGAGAAACCAGAACCCAGGCTCAGCGATAGGTATTAGGGCAAGAGTTGTGGCGATGTCGTAGATGGTCGCTTGCGCCCCGCCATGCAGGTTATCCATAGTGTTGGTGTAGAACTTCGGTACAGTAAACTCAAACGTCAAGCGAGCCGTCTTGGGACCTGTGACCTCTGCGTTGGTGAGCTTCATGTGCTTCTCCCAGAGGGGTTGACAGAAATGCTGCACCACGTATCAGCTGAGCACTGTATATGAGAAAGCCATGTCCTTGAGGAGACATGGAGAGATGAGGGCAATGGAAGGCGTAGGTATGCCTGTTCCCCTTTCACCATCCGGCCTGGCGTGCTTCCATGACCGGAAAAGAGCAAAGATGGATCACTCACTTCTTGTTGAATCTCTACTGCATCGTTGAACCGTGTCACTTTCTCAAATGCGCTCAATTGGTCCCATCCTTCCGTCGTCTCCTTGTCCAGATTCCCAAACCTGAAGCCCGGCGAGCTCATCTTCTGCGGCTTGTTGATACAGGACTCTACAACCAGCGCAAAAATGTATCTTCGACAAGGAGAAAAAAAGCCTTTTAACAGAACTTAGAGACGTATGGTGAACGCAATGTTCATGACATAGACGTCGATGATGTGAGATGCCATGGCATCGACAGCCGAGGTTCGAGGAGCCGGCAACTCATCCCTGTCAGCTGTACGTCAATGAGGGAATGGTATCCATCCAGATCGCGAACTGAACGCTGACAATACATCATCCAGGGCGTACAAAAGAGCAGCCAGCCGAGAGGAACGAGGATAAGATATCGAGAGAGCAAAAGAAAGGATTTCCGTAACGGGGAATTGAACCCCGGCCGCCTCGGGACAGCTTTGCAGCATGAAAGCGAGGAATCCTAGCCACTAGACCATTACGGATTAGATGAAAAGGAATTGTATAATGTTGTTTATAGCCCTCCAAACGGTTGTCCATCAACAGCCGCTCAATAGCGGGCGTCCAACACCGAAAATCGGTCGTCCGCTGTTGGCTCTTTGATGGACATCCATAAACAAGGCATGCTTCTCCACAACAGAGCATTCGACGCGGTGGCAGACGTAGACTGGGCGTCAGATGAGGCATGCCCTGTCCCTTCTGTCCGAATGGGCATGCGGAGTAGTTTCCATATCGGAGAGAACACTGAAAGCGTGAATGTTTGAAGGCACGAGAAGAGGCGCAAACACCGCTGACGGCCGCCTTGCAGCAGATCGTCAGCCAAGACTCGATTCCCCAACTCAGGTACTATGTCCGTAGCCAAACTCCGATCCTAGTCTATACCAATATCCGGGGCCCATCAATCTGCATCTACCACACGATGCAAGCTAGTCAGTCCTGTCTGTTTTGGTTCGTTGAGAGATGTTAGAGTCTCTCCAGCTGAGAAAAGGCAAACGCCTATCGATGGCCGCTTACGGCCGTTAGTGCTAACCTCCGCCGTCATCTATACAGAGGTACAAGAGTACAGGAGTTACATGACTCAAACTCCGTGGCGGAGGACCGTGGCTCATGAGTGCCCAACTGCTGAGAACGTTGAGGCAGAGCGACATATATACGGGGCTGCCACTGCTCCGAAGAAGGCTGAGTTATCCCAACTCCTTTTCCTCACTATCAATCTTCTCCTACCGAATCACCGTCTCAACATCACGGTAGAAAGACAAATATAATGGCGGGGTTCCATAGGCAAAGCACAGGCATCGAGGTGATCAAGCAACTCAGTGACCAAGTCAAAGGCAAAACAGTAGAGTTAACCGCCTCCTGCCCGTCCTCTTCACCTACCCTTTCACTGATAGTACCAAGTCCTTATCACTGGCACCAGTGCTGGTGGTCTTGGTGCTGAAACAGCCATCTCTCTTGCCCATGGCTCGCCTGCTCACGTCCTCCTTCTCGCCCGCTCCGCCAACAAAGTTGACCCCGTAATCTCCGCCATTCGCGACGTCGACCCAGAGATCACAACAACCTTTATGCCCGTTTCTCTGGACTCCTTCAGCTCCGTGCTCTCAGCTGTCGAGACTGTGAAAGCGAAGACCTCCAAACTGAATATTCTGATCAACAATGCCGGAATCATGGCGGCGCCGTACTCGCAAAACGGAGTCGGCATCGAATCGCAGCTAACTGCGGCAGGACCTGGCGCCAGAATCATCAACGTCGCCAGCGACGGCTACACTAACTCACCCTTCCGCTTTGACGACTGGAACTTCTCAGAGGCAAGACTCATGACCCCTGGTCCTGGTATGGACAATCCAAAACAGCAAATATTCTCTTCAGCCAGGCCCTTGCTAGGAAGCACGCTCACAAGGGGATCCTGTCGTACGCAGTGCATCCGGGCGTGATCTTCGATACGAGTCTCGCCGGCCATCTGGACCCCGCCTCTTTTGGTGAAATCAGCGAAATCGCTCTCAAGAATACCGGCGTGCCATTCCGAGTTGGAGAACCCAAAACGGTTCAGCAGGGCGTAGCGACAACCCTGGTTGCAGCTTTGAACCCCGGATCAGCAGGTCAGTGGACGCTTTCTCTCCCCATCAGCCCACTTCTTGCAAGTGAGTTTTTTGGCATCTGTCACTGCTTCCGTGCTCCATCGTGCTGCATACGAATCACACACAACCACTGTCTTCCTTTTAAGCTACTGTATTGTCTCCCCCATGCTCTCCGTCCATTTTCCCGCAGTATCGCCGAGACCGAAGTTGGCCCGCACGCACAACTTTCGATTGCAAAACGGAACAGCCGCCATGTTCTACAACCACCCGGTCATGCTGGTATTACGGCGTGATACGCCCTCGTTGTCTCTGATGCTTTGTGAAATAAAAACAAAAGTTCCGAAACGGGGAATTGAACCCCGGCCTTACCGGACCTTGTCGAGGAGTAATCCTCACGCTTGAGAGCGGTAAATCCTAGCCACTAGACCATTTCGGATAACGGGCCGTTTTGATCCTTGACGACCATTGCGATTTTTTGTGTTTATAGCTCTTGTCCCTTGGAACACTCCTGCACCTGCAATAACCATCGCCTCTACGCTCAAAGTTGTTGCGCATACAGCCACTAACACCCTCCTAGAGTCCTCAGGCTCCTATCTGGAAATCTGCACAATCCATCCCCTGCGCTCGTACGCCTCTTCTACTGATAATTCTGAGCGACTGTGGAATCTGAGCGAGAAGCTTGTCGGACGGGGCCACAACGACGTCGAAGTGTGGCAGGGACTGGAGTAATGCCGTGTTAGCAATACTGGAATGGGACTGGAATTTCAAACGTTGCTCTCATCAGTCCGTTTTTATGCTTGCCTGACGATCGCTGTAACTCGGGAGACACACAAATGCCACATGCTAGCTCAATCCTTCTTGGCTCGAACAAGCCTAGAACGTGACCCAAGGAGTGCACGTTACGAAAACCAATAGGGCCATCCTTGATAATTCTGGTCCTTGTAGGTGGAACTCGAGTTCAAGCAAGACCCAAGAGCAGGCAAATGCATCTCGCCCTCTGCCACTCTGGCGGCGTACCTCTTATAGAAACTGCATTCTGAGGTTGGGAACCATGGCTGTCGTCGCGCATTAGAGACCCAATTTTTGAGAAGATGCCGCAAGGGCACCCTCAAGCGGATAGGACAACCGAACTGAATGCGAAGATGAGTAGTCTTGTATAGCCTGCAACTGTGCCCTAGCTAGATCCCTGGTCGAGCAGAGCCGCCGCGTCTTCGTTATGGTCCTAGGTAGCGCACTGGCCCGCTCGCAGCAGTCAGTCAGCAAGGATTTGTTCGAAAGTACTGTTCGCCGAACATATAGAGAGCAACGCAAAGTCTTGGGACGTATTCAACAGCCTACCTCTGACTCTTCGTCTAGCATCAGAACCTCGCCCACTTTGCCCCCGTTCCCATTCGAGAGGGCCAGGTATTGAAAGTCTTCCTGCAATTGTACCGCGTATGAATTGGAATGGATTCTCAGAGCGCCATAATAGTCGTTGCACACTAAGTCAAGGAGCCCGTCTGAAAACAATACTCCAATCATCTCCTCGAGGATGGATACTCTACGTCGTTGCCTACACGGTAACACGCCGATCTCCATAATAGACTACACGGTAATCGTTCTGCTCGGACGCCGGTTCCAGCAGACATTGCGCCGTCATTGAGGGACGGGACAGGAACGAGTTGAAGTGGTATGCGCGAGTATCCTCTGCAGGCGGCCACGGGGCTGTGGCAGGCTGGTGAATCGTGGAAAAGTCTGCACCCTGGATGCGATCTATGCGGCGAAGGTTTTCAACGTATGGAAGACTCTCAGTACAGCAATCCCACAGAACACGATCGACCTGGAGTCCTGTCATAGAAAGGGGTAAATTCAAGGCCTCTGCGATAGGGCTTGAGACGCGAACGAATGGAATATTTTTATGGAGGTTGCTCCTCCGCTTTTCCGGTTCTGTTCGTCACGTTCTCCGGTAAACGCACCAGTGGCTGTATGCCGGCTTGAACACCGTCCAAAAGATTCGGGTTTCACCTGCAACTATGTCGATATGGTCTAAGAGTAGGATCTCTTGAACGACCCAAGTCCGGTTCCAGTACGGACGTCTTAGTAGACGGGGTGCAATAGGACAGTGTTTAAAAAGCTGCCGCATGCTCCATTCGATCCAAGAGCCTAACTCTAAAAAGCATTAGGTTATCCTGTACTCCTCGGCCAGCTCTTGTGAGATAGCAACACCCACGCTAGGGTATTCGCCCAATGAGACTGTTGTGCTAGCGGTCTAAGAGTAAATTAACAACATACGCTGCACTTGAGAATTGCGTTCTTCCAGATCGTCCTGGTTGATGCAAACCGCCTCGATGCAGACAAGCATGCCACCTTCCTCGTGTAGCTTGAAACCCAGGCGGGGCGATGAGCTATGCTTGCGCATCATAGCTTCACATTGTGACGGCCGATTAAGACACCACCAAAGATTGTCTCTGACAAGGAATATTCTGCCTCCGATTCAGATAGGTTTCTTCTGTTGGATTTCGTCGCCCCACAAACACGGGATTGCCGTGTAACGGGGTGATCTTTCCAGGAAAAGTACACAACTGGCAGTGGATTTCTCCCAAATCTCGAGACGGGAAGAGCCAAAGGTACTGTGTGATCTCTCCCGGCTTCAAGGAGTTGTACCCGAGCGGGTTTGCCTTGTGAAATTTAGTCTCCATCCTAAAAGAATTCAGGATCTCGTTGGATCTTGTGGCTGTTGGTAGTAAGAAGCAGTCCGTACGTCGACGCCTGCTTTGTTAAACGATGGGAGCAGAGGGAAGGATTAGGAACTGGAATGCGAGCGTCTGCACATGCGGACTTATTGCTTGTTGTTATATCATCTGCACAGCCTTTGAGGGAGGGGAAGTGCTGCTGAGCTGACGGTATTGCCGCTCCGTGCAGCCAAGGGCAGATCAGCCGCATGTCGAGGGCTCAATACATCATTTCATCGCTGGAACGACGAAAAAGGAAGTGAATGCCATGGGAGTCCGAGAGGTCAATGAGGTGGTATTGCCCACTAAACAGAGCGAACAGCTCGAGACAGCAGCAGACAACGTTGTACAAAGCTCAACAACATGAAAGGCTTTTGACCGTATTTGGTGTTGAGCGAATGCGATCGAAAGACGAGAATGGACAAGGCTCGTTATGCATCCCGTGTCTTGCTTTGTCTTGCTCACTCAAAGCGCGCGCATAAGGAGCGAGGAACATCCGGGTTGTAGAAGCGCTCGCGCTCCCGGTCCAAATGCTGCCCACCGGAACGGCGTCTTGGTGTATCGGGATCCGTTGCCTAGACGGGAAGCGCACTTAGTGGGGACCGGTTTCCTAAAGTCTATTACCGTCCATAGCAGACTGGTGTTATCGCCTTTATCAGGCTTCGGGAGATTACAGTGAGATCATCGCAGAGTGAGGCG